TTCTCTCTAAGGGCTGTCTAAGAATTGACCATTTCTGCAAAGAGAATTTAAAAATTAAGGGAAAAAGTCTCTAAATTTAGATTCTCTTTATATTAAGAGAAAAAGTCTCTAGGGAAAAATTCTCTGTACTCATCCCAGGTTAATTTACAATTGGTTGCTAGTGTCTGGACGTCACTGCTTATGTGATGGCTTCATGCCTCAATGTTAAACATCAGAATGAGGCCAATTCTAGTGAATAGAAGTCCACACAAACAGTTGCTGTTTTTGTTGGTTCCTCTGGTACCAAGTCTAAGAATAGAAAGAAAAAAAAAACAAAACTGGCAACACAACAGAACCATCTTTTACTGCCACCTTCCCCTTCAACATAAACTGAGGCATGTGTTTGATGGAGGGAGGGGAAGAGTGTTTCTTTTATTTTCCCTTAGTAAAGGAGCTCAGTTCCATTAAGCAATGTTGGAAAATATACTGGAGATAGTATATTTAAAATTAATTTAAAATGTAAAGTGTTTTTAATGCCTTTTAATATAAGCAAATATTGATTTTATTAAAATGCTTTCAGATATTAGAATACAATGATTTATTTATCACTCCAAGTCTGTAGTATCAGTATAACTTCCTTTCCAAGCATATTGATTTTTAAATGTATTTTGGAAGTGGAAAAAGAACCAAACAGTCTACCAAAATTCTTCACCATCCCTCTTAAACAGAACCAAGTCTATTACGTCCAATGGAGTCTATTTTAAAACAGTATAGAAAAATTATTTTTTCAAAAGGATAGGGTTAACCAATTAGAAACGTTCCTTAAACAACAAAGGACAGGTCATACTTTTCTAAGCTGTGTTTTGCTGAGTTGAAGTGTGAAATGTCAAATATTGATAAAGTAGTCAAAGTTAAGTACACTGAGTCATTGAAATTTCTGAAATATTGAAATGGATTATCAACCTTATTGGAGTCTTTGCAGAACCTAAAAACTTTCATGTTCATTGTTGACATTAAAAACTTAAAAGGTCATATTTCTCTGTAGATTCAGTGCCCAGATATAATGGATTTAAAATTTAAAGCACTTTTAGAAGAAAATTTCAGTGTTGTAGAAGTTAAACATGGAGCAAAACTCATCCTTGTTACTTTTTTTCCATGTTTTCTGTTATAGATTTTCTTAGACTCTAAGGTGTCTAACCGAACTCAGAATAAATGTTGCTGCAAACAATTTAATTTTAATTTTTAGACTGTTTAGCTCTTACAATGATGCTCATTCCAACTGCTATGTTAAATATGTAGCAATAATTGTATGTATTTTTCCTAGCTTGTGATATAAGGTGTCATACCTTTCGGTGTATTATTTTTATACCAAGATTGTCTAACTTCAAATGAAGAACTCCATTTCAGAGCACTGCTCAAATATAAAGACTATCATCTAAGGATTAGAACTAGGCTGATTTTCAGTTATGTATCCTGGTATTAGCTTCCTTCTTATTTTCCACAGAATAAAATATTTTTGTTACTAGTGCCTGGCTTTTATACATTTACCCTTGCATCTGTGATAATGAAAGGGAAGAGCAATACAAATTGTTAAGGTGAAATCCACAGAACATCCAAAATCATTGTGGTCAATGAACGGAGGCATGACAGTGCTGCTGTTAAGAAAAGAAAAAAAGGGCACCTGGGTGGCTCAGTCGTTAAGCGTCTGCCTTCAGCTCAGGTCATGATCCCAGGGTCCTGGGATTGAGCCCCGCATCGGGCTCCCTGCTCGGCGGGAAGCCTGCTTCTTCCTCTCCCACTCCCTCTGCTTGTGTTCCCTCTCTCGCTGTGTCTCTGTCAAATAAATAAATAAAATCTTTAAAAAAAAAAAAAAAAGAATAGAAACAAGAGTAGAGTGTACTAGGATTCAAGTCTAAATGATGTGGGAAACAAAGGCAGAGGAAAAATTATTAAATTTCCTTACTACCTATAGCCCAATGACAAGTCCTTGAAACAGGCAAAGTGACATTCCTCTAGGGACTCAGCTGCCTCGAAAGAATACTTTGCTAAGGGAAAATGGTAACCTTAGCCCCACACGCCAAGATCCTGAAAGTCTATCTTAACATATAAAAATATCTTTAGAAATTTCCTTTATCTCTAAACCCCCCAAGATACGTGTTGGTAATTATCCCCCAAGCATATGGCCCACCGATATACATGTGAAGGGTCTCATGAGTAAGATTTTATTAGACAATAATAAATGACCTTTCCCCAACAATAGCTAGCCTCCTCAAGGTCCTAGAAACCTTGCTTCCAAAATTCCTTAGAGACTTAGGCTATCCCTAACCCCCTCCCACCTTGAAACTATATAATGGGCCACTCCTCGGGACCCCAGTACAGCTCTTTCTGCTCACGGGTCCTGTCCCCAGGCTTTAATAAAACCACTTTTTGCACCAAAGACATCTCAAGAATTCTTTCTTGGCCGAAGGCTTTGAACCCTAACATCTTTTCCTACTTCATAATATTCAATAGCTGTATGACTTGAGCTGTCACTTAACCTCTTCAGGCCTTAGTTTCATTGTCTTCATCTGTAAAAGGAAGGTTGCTAGAGGTTTAAGTAAATATGTGCATGTGTATCTGTATGTATGTGTATGTGTATATATATCTAGTGTTACTTAAATATTAACTATTATTATATTGATTCATCACTTCTATATCTGAACTGCTAATGAGCTAACAAAATTGACTGATCTGATGGTTCTTGCCCTGTTTTTTCTTTAGTTTGTTACAGCAAAATGTCACTTAAGAAATTGAATAAACATATATTGAGAAGCCCTATAGCAAGGTGCTGAGTTAATAGGATCATCACTTCCTGAATACATATGAATGAAGTCTTTGTAGAACTAGCAGAGGGGCTGTTAATACTAAAACAGTAGCCTTGCAAGTTAGTATAACCTCCTATAAATCAAAACATTAATACCTGAGCTTAAGGACAGAGATTTTGTCTGTATTGGGTCATTGCTGTATTTGCAGAATTCAGGCAAATGCCTTGCAAAGAGTGGGTGCACAATAACTATTTCTTGAATTAACGGAATGAACGGAAATCTTGACCTTTTCTTTAAAATAGGATTAACATGAAAGCAAAACAATCAAACAAAAAGTAAGAGGCTTCCCCATTTTCTGATGGATTTCTGACCCTAAGAATGCTGGTAAGCAGGTAAACAGGGCTGAGGAGCAGCATGCGAAGAACATTAAGTGCAAATGTGTACATTTAGTAAGTATTCTAGAAGTCAAGGATTTGGTTCAGCATTCACAGCAATGTGTGGTGTGGAGTGGTGTCACACTTAACTCAGATTCTTGTGCATGTGTCACATTTGTATTACAAATATTTTATTCAGCATCTGACTAATTTTAGTGTCTATACTTATCCTTTTTCCTTGCCAGGGTTTTCAGAAAGGATTTCTGAAATCCTTTACCTATATATGACCAAGTGTTATAAAGTGACACTTTCTGAAAATATTTGGTTTACTTTTAATACTTGCTACTCAGCGTTGACTAGCTAAAATAATCAGTTTGACATGATCTATTTCACTGGTGGGGTTGATTATATTGCATTACTTAAAATTTAGCTCACAACCTCAGATAGTGGATTAAAATAGCTTTCTCAAAATTATTCCTGACAATTGTCTAGATACGTATTCGTTTTTACTGCCATAGCAAACATTTTTTGAAAACAGAAAGAAGTTCCCTTTCATAGCATAGATGAGCTAATAATTTGAAGCGGAAACTATTCATTTGTACACACTGTAAGTTTTCCTAATTATCTTTGTAATGAAAACTGAGAAAGTATTAGTCATCCTTGGCTAAGCTATACTCAATTCTACTTGTCTTTTCTAAATATAATAAAACAACAAACAACCTTAAAGGACATTATTAATTGATTAGACAAGATTTCTTAAAATGGTTTTTATCATCTCATTTAACTTTAGAGCTTCCAGACATTAATAATGAGTCACCAAAATGCTATCATTGATTTATAATGCACATTAGCACATCAGGTTTGGCCCAAGAACTCTGTGGGTCCAGAAGGAAAAAGAAAGATGTTTACAAGTGAGCTCTGGCAGAAATATACTGAAAACACTATCTGTATTCATGGTAAACAATTAGGCCTAATTCGAGTACAGTGAACATTCAGGTTCATTTTATTCCAAGGAACTGTTTCTATTCTTGAAGCTCCATGTAGAAAGAGTCCTTAGGGTTAGAACACTATCGAGGGTGGTATAATTTTGCTTGGCCTTTGGGCATATAAGGTAAACATTTTACAACAAAAATGTACAGCCATAGATAACACAGGATCTGATCAATGTTAACACACTTGGCGTTTAAGGCTAATCCACACTGGAAAAACAATCATTTCCAGGATGGAGATCAAATATTTTAACACAGTGTTACCTGTCTGAGTTGCTAGAAAAGATTTATTTAAAAATCGATCCACAGGATGTATTTTCACATTTGTCAGTTTCTTTCCACTTGTGTGCTAGAGGGAGGCACTTTAAGAGTTATTAACGGTGGTAGGGGTACGAGACACTGAGTTTCAGCAGTGATTGGTATATATGGCAGGGAATTAAAGTGAAATTGTATTAAAAAAAGAAAGTAAACAAATCATTAAATTAGAAAACTTCGCCAAATCTTGTGAAGATCACTAATTTCTGATTTGAATAACTTCCTTGCTTAAAAAAAAGATTAGTAGTTATCACCCACCCATGCCCAAATAAATGAAGGTACAATGGTTTTGCTGTCTGGGCTCGAAAGAGGTTTTAAATATTGACAAGTACTTTGAGTTAGGTTTTGAGTAATATTGCAAAATATTGTATTATGCATAGGTTCCAAAGTGTCAGAAAAACTAAAATGTCGAATAGAACATATTGGAAGAGTTTAGTAAAACGTATAAAAATTAAAAGGCTAAAAAACCCACTCCCGTTTTAAACATGTAAAAATAAATCGAATTGGTTCGTGGGAATCGACTTTTTTTTTTTTTTTTTTTAGTTAGTTGGTACGTACTGCACCCGCCACAAAGCGTTGGAAAGTAGGTCCTGGTACACACTAAGGAATATCCAGCCAGGTAAATACATCAGGGTGATGAGGCCCATGAAATTGAGCGGATAGTGAGAATAGTCCCAGGAACAAGCGCCGCACAGGCGGAGCCCCAGACCCCAGGACAACTCCCATACGTAGATGAAGATCACGTAGATCGGCAGCCGCTTCCAAGTGCTCCAGCCACGATTCCAGTGCAGGTGGAAGTAGAGTTTTTCCACCACGAAGCTGCAGCTGCCGTACATAAAGAAGGACCAGAGCGACGTGTGGCCGCTGGCTGCCCCATCTCTCTGCCCCAGGAAATTAAAGAAGAAAGTGAAGAAGATCTCATCCAAAAAGCCGTGCATTCCGAAGAAAAGAAAGCGGAGCAGGCCCGGAAGCCCCTGACTGGGGGTTCCCCCGACGCCCCGGCCGCCTCGGGGTAGTAGCTGTCGGCCACCTGCAACCCCAGGGGCCCCGGCGCCCAGAGGGGCGGGGGGCGCGCCGGGCCGGCGCTGCGGCTGCTGAGGCTCTGGCTGCCGCCGGTACCGCAAGCGCAGGAAGCGCTTCAGGAACACATGGCAGTGGTAGAGCGCCAGTACATACTGCAGCGCTAGGTCCAGTGTCCCCGGCACCGCCGCGCCCCCCGGGCCGTTGCGCAGGCCGAGCAGCAGTGCCTGGCCTGCCAGGGTCTGCAGCGCCATGTGGGCCGAGGGGTAGAGGAGAAAATTGAAGACGAAGGCGTTGGGGCAGCACCGCTGCTGCAGGTAGACCTTCTCCAGGGCGAAGTGGGTGAGCGAGTGCAGCAGGCAGCGGTAGGGCGAGGAGAAACCCAGCATCCGGAGGTCCGGGCTGCTAGCAAAGCGCCGAGCTGAGGACACGAGCACGTCCAGGGTGATCCCGTGCATCCCGTAGAAGTAGAGGCGCATCCAGGCGGGCAGCGCATCCGGCCCGTCTGCCGGCGCTTCAGCAGTAGACAGCGGCTCCGGGCGGCTGGCCGCAGCCTCGCCTCCCCGCCCGCCGGGGCCCCCGCGACGCCGTGTGGCGCTGCTCCTTCGCGCGCGACCCTCGCCATCCGCATCGCTGCCAGCCATGGGCTCAGAGGCTGCCCGGGCACCCGAGCCCGCGCCGCCGCCGCCGCCGCAGGGTGCGAGGAGCTGCGGGGCGGAGGAGCTCCGTCCCGGCCGCGGCCGGGTGGCAGCCGGAGCTGGTGTGCCCGGGAGATGCGCGGGCCGCCGGGCTCGCGGAGTCTCCCCGCCGCGGCCCCACCGCGCCCTGCCCTCCAGTCCTGGGTGAGGTGCCACCGGCCGGCGCCCGCGCTCACTCTGCGCGGCCTAACGGGCGCCGCGGCCCGGCGAGGGGCGGTGGTGCTGGGGCTGCCAGGAGAAGTGCGGAGGCTGCTGCAAACCCCATCTCCTCCGCAGCTCAGCCCCGCCGCCTGTGCTGCGGGCTCTAAAAGCGTAAAGCGATCAGTGACGCCCCTTCCCCCCGCCCTCCCCATGCCCCTCTCCGCCTTTCTTGGGCTCTCCCGCCTTCGCAGGGCGCCCTCCCCGCCCCACCCTCTGAGCCGAGTCCCGCCGGGGTCCGCCGGAGAGGGCCGGGCCCTGCTTCTCCGCCTCCTTCCCCTGCTCTGCCCTCGGGTCCCGCCCGGTGCGGGAGGCGTTTGCTGGGGCGGAGGCTGGAGTGGAGAAACATCTAACAGGTGTGATGGAGAGGCGATGGGCAATCCCTGTATCGCGGAACCAGAGCCAGGGCCTGGCTGGCTGAGGTGAACGGCCTAGTGCCACAAACCAGAGGCTGGGCCCGAGACCAAACTGTGGTGCTGTACATGTTCTAATTCAAAGCCAGCTGTGTCCCAGTCACAAAGAATGAACAGGAGACTCCAGGCCTGCACGCCCCCAGCATCTGAAATGTTGCCTTGGGGCCTGGTTCACTTTTTCAATCGCTCTCTCTGACCAGTGCTTTCCTAGGTTAGTCTACTGAGGGCCAAAGACAGAGAGTCAAAGCCCCCCAGAATTATGAAACGATTTGAGGCCAGTTGGGTTGGACATTGCTCTGGCTGCAGAGGAGTCTCATATCAAGAGCAGTACCTTTGCTCACGCTGGCGCACCCCAGTGCTGCTTTTTCTCTTTGCAGAACTGGGTCATCCCAGAGACGGAGAGTGGAGTGGAACAGAGGGTGAGATTTTTATTTTTTTATTTAGGTAGAGAGGGTGTGGGAATCTAGAACTTTGGTGTGTTGGGGGCTGCGCTTTTTAATCCAATTTTGAATTGGATTCTGAATCCAAAATTCAGGCTTAGAATTGAAAAGGATTGAAAAGAACCTTAGAGGTAAATTATACTGATTCATATCCCCCCTGCCCCCATCATATCTAAGCAGAAACCAGGTAACAGTTCTAATCTGTAAGGAGATGGGATGTTTCTTGGGTGGAAGGCTTTCTGGGGAATTTTTTTCCCCCCTTCTGGAGAATTCTGAGGCCATTCCTCCATTTCTTAAAACGGTCTCCTCCCCACTCTCTACCCTTATTTTAACGCCTATGTTACAGTCTATAGTTGCTAAATTGTCTGTGATTTAGGTAAAAGAGAAATAAAAGTATGGTGAGAAGAAAAATTGTTAAAGTAATATCACTTGTATAAGGTCAACGTAATGACTTTTTTTTTTTTTTAGCTTTGTTAGCATGTGGTTTATTTGCATACTTCCCTTGACAAATGTCAAAAGTCAGTGGGTGGAAACTGTCATGCCAGGGACAGAAGCCTCAGTTACAGGCTCCTCAAACCAGCTGCAAAACAGGAGACGCTTAGTTGCCCAAGTGCCTGAGCAAGTACAATGAAGAGAAATAATAATGTTAAAAAACTAAGTTCAACTGAGTAAGTTTGAATATCTAATCGGCTTTAATAAATGGTTCATGAATTGGGCGGCATCCCATTTAATAAAGAGAAGTGAGCTCCAAGAAGCTGTACAAAATGGAAGACTTTTATAGGCGGGACATGGAAAGTTATGAGTAAAAGAAAAGAAAGAACTGTATTAGGCAAGGTCACCTTCCTTTGCATGGGGGTCTATCATGCAGATTACCACACTAGTGTTGATCTGGAAATTCCAGATGGTGATTAAAAATCACATTTCTGGGGCACCTGGGTGGCTCAGTCGTTAAGTGTCTGCCTTCGGCTCAGGTCATGATCCCAGGGTCCTGGGATCGAGTCCCACATCGGGCTCCCTCCTCGGGGGGAAGCCTGCTTCTCCCTCTCCCACTCCCCCTGCTTGTGTTCCTGCTCTCGCTGTCTCTGTCTCATAAATAAATAAAATCTTTAAAAAAAAAATCACATTTCTGTAACTAAGTCTTGGTTTGCTGTCTTGGGGCAAGTGACTCCATATTGAGACTGTTATTATTTTTTTAAACACTGTAAACATTTTCATGAGCAAAGATGCTAAATACACTGGGAAAATGAAGGGTTATTAGATGCACTCTCTAAGAAGTATATAATCTAGTTCATAGGATAATAACCTATCATATCTGTGGTAAAGCCTACCTATGATTATTATTAATAATTATGATCAGCTAGTTCCCCCTTATCCACAATTTCCTTTCCCGAGTCCAGAAACAGATGATCTTCCTTCTGACATATCATCAGAAGTCGGGTAGTAGCCTAACGCTATGTCACTCACCTCACTCCGTCTGTCTCATCATGTAGGCATTTTATCATCTCACGTCATCACAAGAAGGATGAGTAGAGTACGATAAGATATTTTGAGGGCGAGAAACCACATTCATATGACTTTTATTATAGTATAATGTTATAATTGTTCAATTTTATTACTGTTGTTGTTAATCTCTTACTGTGCCTAATTTAGAAATTAAACTTTGACATAGATAAGAATGTACAGGAAAAAAACGTAGTATACATAGTATATATACTCAATACCATTGGTGGTTTCAGGCATCTGCTGGGGGTCTTGGAACGTATCCCTTGTGGCTAAGGAGGGGAACTACTGTACATACCAACGAATACATTTCTTTAATAAACTCAACCCTGGGCCCAATGTATCAGATACTAAAAACAAATGCACTTGTTCTCCATCACTGCTATTCAAGCAAGGGAAAGCACTTCATCATGATAGCATAAATACAGGCATTCAAACATACATACACTAATTTACTAGATTAAACTTGAATTGTTTCTAATAGTAAATTAAACTTCAAGAGCCCAAGTCTTCTATTTATTCTAATCTTTCTTAAAAATGCAAGGAAAACCTTGAAAGGTCTAATTCTATAGTTCAGTCTAGTTCATCTCAGGGAATGCAGGAAAATCTTGGATTAAATACAAAAATTATATCTTCTATTTGTGTATTTTTAACCTCAGCACTTAACAAAATTTCTATTTTGTGTACCATACATGTCTTATAAATTATATAGGTATAATAAGGCATGTATAAAATTTATTTATATATATATGTATAGTACACACATATTTGAAACATGCTAGTTTTTTAAATTAGGGAATATATAATAAAAAGCTTGTGTCTCACCACTGTTGTCAATGTATTGCTCTGCTGAGTGGGTTAGATTGCTAAAAATCTCAATGTTCTGGGCCCTTTTTTGAATCTGCTTCTCATTTATCTTAGGAGAAGTAATGCAAAATATAAATTAACAGTTATAAATCCATAGCAGAAAATGCAGCTATTACCTGTTATTCTACGTTTCTTTTTATATTTTTGTTGTGGCCTCTCCGTAGTTACGCCACTTCAAAATGCATGAAACACTAACTTAAAAAAAAAAAAAAGTAGAAAGGATAAAAGGAAAGGTTTAAAAAAAGGCATGGGACAAAGGGCAAGAAAACTATTCATTATATAAATTGCCACTCATTCTTTTCACTTACTGCCTCGTTTTAAAAAAAATGAGTATCTTCTACCAGATTCTGAAAAGTTAGGTCACCAATGATACCAATCTTTGTTTCTGCTTTGTCTTCACATTGTTCTTTTGTTTTGAGCACTTTATTGCTGGGTTTCCAAAAGGAAAACTGCAGCACAGCTTTAATGATCCATGATGATTTTATAATTTACAATCCTCACATCAGAATCTCCATGATCATAAAATATGTAAAAGCCTTCCTGTGTTGGTCTTTGCCACTGCAAACATTAGGTTGCAAAGATGCACCTGTAAAAGCAGCAACTTGTTGGGAGTTGGTGGGCATGAGGGTGAGGGGAGGTTAAAAATGTGAAACAGGAATCTGCAATAAAATAACATCGGGTTGAGACTCCTTAGGTTAGAAAACAGCCATCAGGGCGCCTAGGTGGCTCAGCTGGTTAAGCGACTGCCTTTGGCTCAGGTCATGATCCTGGAGTCCTGGGATCGAGTCCCACATCAGGCTCCCAGCTCAGTGGGGAGCCTGCTTCTCCCTCTGACTCTCTCCCCTCTCATGCTGTTTCTCTCTCGCTCGCTCTCTAATAAATAAATAAATAAAATCTTTAAAGAAAAAAAAAAAGAAAGCAGCCATCAAAAGAATGCTTTGCAACATTGTTCTTCCATGGAAAACACAGCCTTCTTTGACCTCGGAGGCTAGGAAGCTGTCTGAGTAACCATGTCTGTAGAGATGTAACAATGCCGGTCAAGCCCATACTAACCTTCCTGGACGGGCCAGGTTGGAGCCCCGTAGTAGTGTGACTGGGGAGAAATCTGCTAATTGGGAGAAGAGTCCTCTGGAGGATTATGATAATCTCTAGTGAATTGTCTAGTGGCCATAGGGTCATAGTTGTAGACTTTTAGATGTATGGAATGCCTGAGACCTTTCATTGCACACCAGAAGAACAAAGGAAAGTGAATAGAAAGCACAGCATTTCGAAGAAAGCTTAAGGGCACTTCAGTGGGGGACAGCATGAGTGTGATGACAGAAGAAAGAGGAAAAGGCCCCAGGCACATTAGCAGTAGATATAAAAACCTTTCTTACTAGGGATCGAATTACACACACACACACACCCCTCTTATTTACTGTAATCATCAAACTAAGAAGGAGGACACCCATCCAAGAAGGCTTGCAACTGCTATATGCTGGTTCCCTAAAAATACCATCAAAATAACCTGTTGCTAAGGCAAAACTGA